ACCCATGTGCCCAATCGGGTGTCTCATTCACATAGGCAACAGATCAGCAGCACTCGGGTGACATCTCCATATTCTGCAGCTCTTGCACAAAAAATCCAAAGAGATACTGTATATGCAAAGAGGATCGAACAGTATAGTATTGCCTGTAATTTTTTAACAAAAAATAAAAAAGAAGCAACACTAAAAATGTGCAGATACACATACAAGCGCCAGTAAACATATACACAGTGTAGCTCTGTCAGTTCAGCAAGATGGCACCTGGCCCCTGCCAGGGTGATGGCATCACACAGTTCCTGCCCACCTCACACATATCACCCTTCTCACCCTATCACCTTTCTCAAAGACTGCAGATGAGAACAGCAGCATCACAGTTATAGAGCACAGGATTACCATATAAACTTGTAAACAAATATTGCCATATTGCTGAAGCCTTGTCCTAGCTAAAACCTGCAGCTACCTACTAAAATAACCTATGCTTCCCAATAGACTCCTATTACATTTCTAACACACAAAAACAAACAATATCCAATTTAGTAAAAACATAAGTAAACAAAAAAAAAGTTAATTAAAACATCTTTAAAAGGCATTTACGATATTCACATATCTCAGAGACACTATTGGGTTGATTGGAGGATGCAAAATCTGGTGCAAATCTTTGCATAGAAACCAGTCAATTTCCAGGATTTTTTTAATCAAAGCTTAATTGAGCAAGCTGAAATTAGGACCTGATTGTCTACCATGCACAGCTGCAGAGATTTTGCACTCTCCAGTTTTAGTAAACCAACCCCTATGTTTAGTATAGCCTTTTCTGATATTGTATACATGCTCCCTTATTCTCGTAGCTAAGCTCCTAGATGTATGTCCCACATATTGAAGGCTGCAAGGATACTCAATCATGTTTATAACAATTTATGTAGCACAGCACGTGAGATTGTTAATCTCACATTTTTGACCAGTATTTGATGCTAAGAAATCCTTTCTTCTTCTCATATTCACTTTAGATGTTTTACAAGCATGGCATTTCTTACAAGCAGCAAAGCTTTCTAATTCTGGAAATTTAAAGATTGATCATTCTGGTTGATCAAACACTGATTTCACAAATCTGTCCCTTAAAGTCAGGACCCTCTAAACCTCTGATATTCAGGAAGAATATCTGTAAGCAACTTATCATTTTTCAAAATGTACCAATGTTTTCTTAAAATTTCTCAATTCTTCTGCATTTGACATTGCATTCCAAAATGATATCTGTATTCCAACTTGACTCTTCATTTTTGTGTCTCTCCTTATTTTGAATAAATAACTCTATTCATTTTTTTATTATGTTGGCATGCAGTTCCCCTTAAAATCCATACCCGACCTAAGGGTTTTGGAGGGACCCATGCCATTAAAAAAAAAAATTGGTGTGGGGTTCCTTTAAAAATCCGTATCAGACCTGAAGGGCTTTTTTTGAGGACTTTTGTTTACGTTCTGCTAACAGCAGATGAGTCATGGTTGTTAGCCTCTTCCCGTCTGGCCCATTGCTAATAAACGGCCAGACAGGAGCATTGCCAATGCAGGGGGAGTTTCTAAATGTCCCCCCACATCCATTGCCTTTGTGCATTCCCTGGGAGCATGCAGCGCCACTATCTGTGCCACAGATCAATGTACGGGACCACTGTGTGAGGTCCTGATTCATGTGATCAGTGATTAGCCAATCAGTGAATATATGAACAGTAGTAAACAAGATGTCACTTTCTAAAATCATTGTTTACTACTTGTGAACTCTGTGAATTATCATTAAAGTACCATAAAGTACCATGTGACAAGCTGTGATCAATTATAGCTCTCACAGTATTTCTGGAATGCAGCCAGAGAGGAGAAATTATTGCTTTTCCGCCTTTATGGGTGTAAAAGCAATCAATGTAAAAAAAAGAAAAATACAAATGTCCTTTACCCCCCCCCCCCCCCACAAGCAGTACAGTGTCACTATGGAGACACTGTACTGCTAGGGTGCTAGTATGTAAAATAAATAAATACATAAATAATATAAAAAAAAATAAACTAAAGATGTAAAAAAAATTTTGGAAAAATTATAATTTTTTTTTTTTATAAACTGATTTGGATTATTTTTTACATTTTGGTCAAGATTTATGAGGAACGATTATTTATTTTCAAAAGTTTATAAGAAAAATGCTTTTTTTTCAAAATTTTGGTCTTTTGCATTTATAAAAATAAAAATCCCAGTGGTGAATACCACCAAAAGAAAGTTTTATTTGTCTCGAAAAAATGCTAAAAATTTAATTTGGGTACAGTTTTGCATGACCGCGTAGTTGTCATTCAAAGTGTGACAGCTCTGAAAGCTGAAAATTGGCCTGGACTGGAAGGGGGTGAAAATGTCCGGACTTGAAGTGGTTAAGGATGCGGTAGCAGCTCCCTAACAACTATTCTGAATGAAATTAAATGAATGCAGAAAATACAAAACAAAATCCTAAAACAAATAGCTCCATTTATGAATGCATCCGAAAACAAATTCTTTAATTAATGAATAGATTTGAAAATGAAACAAAAATACATTTTTTTTGGCATGCACATGTCTATATATCTCCAATTTTCTGGGGCCATTTCTTGTATGTGCAGCTCAAAACCTCTAGAAATTTCTTTAGTTTCTAGGTTTACTAGTAGTGATTACAGTATAAATCTTGTACTATGAGCCATCTGTACTGTTAATGAATACTGAAACTGCTTGTTCAAAGCAACTACTGAAACTAAGCAATATGCAAACTTTATCCAACTACCTTGAGACTTAGGCAATTTTAAGGGAGATTGATGCTTTCATTAACATACAGTTTTGTAGTCAATTACACATTTATCATCATTTTAAGTTTTTGTGTCAGATCTAATTTTAGGATATTGGTACATCAGAAAAGTGTTTATGTTTGAGATATGAACACACAATTAGATTTTTCTCTTGGTAATTACAGTTAATATATAAGGGAATACTAGATATTTCCCTCTGTATGTATTACTTCATCCTGAATTACATTTTTTTTTCTCTCTATTTCAGCTCTGTATTACAACTTGTTCTGTTTCTGTATTACCACGAGCCATAACAACTCACTGTTTGTTATTGCAGAGTCAACGTAGTTGAAGCTGGCTGAATCTTTTTCAAATTCTATTCTTTTTAATTAAATGAAATCATAAATGCCTGTCTTAGTAGGTAAAGGGACATTCAAACCTGGCATATAGGCTGAGTAAGAGGGCTATGCACAGGGGTGTATTTAGGTGTTGTGCTGCCCTAGGCAACAGAAAAATCATCTGCCCCCACAGACACCAACCAACACCCCCTCCTGCAGAGAGAGCCAGGCATTGACCAACAACACCCCTGCCCCCCCCCCCCCCCCCCCCCATATATAGATAGAAAGGAACACACTTATCTTCAGAGCTCCAGACATCCCTGGGAACAAGAGTCAAGCTCTACTTACACCATCAAGCAGCCTGCAGCTTCTCTCATATCCCACCTGGTTCCCATCTCGCGTGTCCCTTCTTCCATCTCTTCTTCTGAGGGGAGGTGCTGCCCCCCTGAAAAATGCCACCCTAGGCAAGTGACTTGTTTGCCTTGTGGTAAATACACCCCGACTATGCACTCTATAGCATAGAGAAGGTGCTATCAGAGGATGACCTACCTCAAAATACCAATCCAGTGCTGATTAGCGCTATTCTCTTCTAAATAGTAAAAAGCAGTTTGAGCTTTTGTGTTTTTTTTATGTGTGACTTAGCCCACCAGGTTGCTATCCATGGTGTGGTAAACTGGTAGAGAGATATCCACTACTGATAAAGAAGCAGAGAAGCCCTGCAGTGCACCAAATAATCCATCAATAACCTTTCACCTCCTTCAGTATTCCAAGGTACATCAAATAAGTATTCCTTGTGCACCTAAACTCCGCATTTGGCACGTTTTCTATCTACAGTACATTTCACTATTAGACTTTTCCTTCCTTGTGCCCCACTCTTTGGTCTTTGCTTCTCCTAATATTGGTTTAATACATTAAAATAAGTAGGACTAATATAATTTATTTGATGTATCCAGTCATACAGTATATAGATTCACTGGGATGATTGTTCTATGTTCTCTCTATTATTATTTCTAAAAAATAAGTGATTAATGCACACTATCACTCCCTTTTTATTTTATTAAGGTATAAGAGCCTAGTAACCATCAGCACCAGCATTAAATAAGTGTACCACAAAGCAATAATTTGCTATATTATTTTCAAGAGCAAATGCAGATATATATTTCATTTAATTGTGTGAAAACTCCTAAGATTGGGTTTGATTTACTAAAACTGGAAAGTGCAAAATCTGGTGCAGATGTGCATGGTAGCCAAGCCAATCAGCTTCTAACTTCAGCTTGTTCAATTAAGTTTTGGCAATAAAAACTGCAAGCTGATTGGTTTCTATGCAGAGCTGCACTAGATTTTGCACTCTCCAGTTTTAGTAAATGCTCACTATTGTAATTCTCAAAATTTTCTAAGGTCTGGCACACACCAATGCATCTTTTAACCACTTGCCCTCCTGAGGATATACCCCCTTTCCTGACCAGGCCATTTTTTGCGTTACGGCCCTGCGTTACTTTAGCTGACAATTGCGTGGTCATGCAACGCTGCACTCAAATTAAATTTATGTCATTTTTTTCCCACAAATTGAACTTTCTTTTGGTGGTATTTGATCACCTGTGCAGTTTTAATTGTTTGCGCTATAAAAAAAAGGCCAACAATTTTGAGGAAAAAAACATATTGTTGACTTTTTACTATATAAACATGTCCAGTAAAAAGATTTAAAAAATCAAATTTCATCATAAATTTAGGCCAAAATGTATTCTGCTACATGTCTGCTAAAAAAATCCCAATATGTGTAAATTAATTGGTTTACGTGAAAGTTATCGCGTTTACAAATAGTGGTCTAGATACTGGAATGTTTTAAAAAAATATATATTTTTACTAGTAATGGCGGCGATCAGCAACTTATAGTGGGACTTCGGAGGGCATTCTGACACTGTGGGAAACTGAATTGGTGTCACTGACATCCCCAGTGACACCAATACAGTGATCAGTGCTAAAAAAAGCACTGACACTGTACTAAGAGCACTGGGCAGGAAGGGGTTAACATGGGGGCGATCAAAGGGTTAACTGTGTGCTGTTTGCTGTTTGACTGTAAGCTGTGTCCGTGTGCTTCACTGTAATCACACTGCTTTGTATGTCTGTGCTGTGCGCAGCCATCTAAAGCAGTGTGCATGAGCTGGCAGGGAGGAGTACTGTATTGGTTACATACAATTCCCCTCCTCATTGGAGATGCTCGGCAATCACCGGGCGCAGGTGAGTAATCACCAGCCAGGACCCGGTGATTGACAGCCACGAATGGCGGCGCGGGTAAGATGGGCAAGCACCCTACCCGGAAATGCAAAATCATGTATATATACATGATTTTGCGCACCCGTGCTGCCCTGTAGCAGTATATTTGCTATACGGCGGTCGGGAAGCGGTTAATGCTTTTTGCAGAAACGCACTACAGTCCATTTAACATGGTTTCCTTTGGGGCATGTACACATCTATGCTTTTTTGAGCCTCTGCATTTTTGGAAAGAGCCAGGGACTTTTTTAAATGCAAAAAGCAGAGCTTTTGCTACAATAAAGTTCAATGGAGAAGCTGCTGAAATGTATGTAGTGCCTTTTTGCAACATTTTGCCTTTTTATTCTGCCCAGCAGCCAAAAAACTTCCCCTTCAACAAAGAAAAAAAGAAAAAAAAGACACAGCAAACGTATGTGCAAAATTGCACTGCAAAAAGCACTGCACAACTGACAAAAAGCACAATGCCTGGTGTGAACCAGGCCTAAATGTAGTAAAAGCAATGCGACAACAACTGTAAGTATAAAGGTAAAATGATCTGAACTATACAATAATGTTTAATCAAATGCACTTCTGTAGACATCCCAACTTCTTTGCCCTACAAATACCTGCTGTTTATAATAATGAAAGACAAACTTTTCCCATAATGAATAATTCAAGAAGTCTGATCCATCTATATTTCATTAATGCAGTTCTGCCATTCAAGGAAAAATGTAAAAGTTCACAAGCTATTATTCATTGCATTCATGAACTTTTCATAAACTGCTAATTAATTCCAATTTGAAAGACTTAACTACAAACCTTAAACATCAAGGTCTGTTTTGAAGAAGGGTATTCTGTGGTTTGTAATTGGAAATTTGAAAATACTTTAGGATCATATTTTTTTCATGCAGGGTCTTCTTTTCTGTCTTTCTTCTTCTTCTTGGTGTATTTCTAACTGTACTTTCTGTAATTTCATGGAATGTATGCTTTTTTCTGAGCAAAATGAGATTTTAGAGGTAAGTAGGTAGAAAAGCTTACTTGACTTCTTAGAGTTGTTTGCTAATTTAAACAAAAGTTATTTATCATGTGTAGTGTGGTTCAGGGGCGTCCCTAGGGTTGGTGCCATCCGGTGCGGTAACACTTGGTGACACCCCCTCCGACGATCCCCACAGAATGGATTGGATCTGCAGATTGAGAATAACGGATCGGAGTCCAATCCATTATCCTCCCCAATCCGCAGATCCGATCCATCCTGCAGGGATCGTTGGCATGTAACCTATACGGGGTTAACTGATCTCTCCACAAAAAGGTACGTTTTAAAGCAAGCCGACCCCGCAGGATGGATCGGATCTGTGGATTGGGAAGCATAATGGATCGGACTCCGCATAATATTTACTATAATATTATATTACGCATAATATTTACTATGTATCAGCTTGTTAATGAAATATAGTAAACACTGTGCACTATGTTTCATTTTATGATGAATAGGAGTCTATAAAGACGCCTATCTCATTCATCTACAGTGCAGATCAGGCTGCAGAGAAAGGGACTGTCTTCAGTCCATTTCTCTGTTTCAAAAAAGAGACATTAGAGGCCTGTTTAGTCCCCTGATGTCTCTCCTAAAAAAAACGTAAAAAAAAATAAGTATTAAAAATAAAAATGTAACTGTACAAGAAAAAAAAAAAACTTGAAAAGAAAATATAGTAAGGGTAGATTTAGACATGTATCTAAATCTTCCTTGCTTCTGAAGCCCAAGTTTGGATTTCTCTCCAATGGCTACTGACTGGCGGTGAGGAAACATATGATGCCTCCTTACAGCCTATTTTAACCCCATTTTACCAACAAATATGGTTCCCCCCTGATGTGAATGTGTAGTGTTCACCAGATGGCATCGCTACAAGTTGGGTCAATGGTGCCATGGGCACAAAGCATTACAGCATCAGCACCTGTCCACTACCTATTGCAGCTTGGGATGGGGGGGCGGGAGCATTTGGCAGTTGGCAAAAATGCAGCTCAAATTCACATTTTTGCAACCCACAACCATAAGTCTAAACAAGGCCTAAGGCCTCATTCATGTGGGGCATACTGCAGTGAGGCCATGTTTATCTGCACAGGGATACACAGGTGTTCCATGCATTCCCATTCAGGCAGTCCTATTTATGTCAATTGGAACATAGTGGCTGCACAGGAATGTACATGTGTTTCATGCATTCCTGTGCAGGCAGTCCTATCCATATCAATTGGGACACAGCGGCTGCATCACCATAGCCACTGCTCCCAACTTGACATTCATGTGAGCACAGGTCCCTGAACTTACACTGTCTGCATTTGGTGCCATGCACCTAAACCCGCACAGATGTCAGATCTGTCCTTGCAGATGCTGCATCCCAATTGACATGAATAGGATTGCATGCACAGAGATGCACAGATGCATCCCCATCTGGGTAAGCACAGCCCTTCGTGGGCATACACTTTAGCACATCCCATTGAACAAGATTTTAGCAGGAACTTAGCAGGAATGTTGTAGGTTAATGTACGTTGTGGTTTTGTGTGCAAATAAGAATTTTAGTGGGTTTTTTTTTGTGAAAATAGAGATTTAATAAACATTTCCGCAAATATTGTGGGGCCTAAAAAAAAATCAGTAAAAAAAATAAAAAATATACTTTTTATTCTACTGGTCATGTGCTTTCAGAAAATATATGGTTTGCTTTTACAAACTCTGAAAGCTGTAATTGAAAAATGAAAATCTCCAGACTTATAGAGAAATTTGGTTATTTACAGTTTTGCACATGTTCAATTTTCACCATTTTTTAAAAAGACGCAATTTAAAATGTACAACTATTTATTATTTATTAACTAAATACAGGTTAAACTTTTGCATTTAATAGGAATTTTGCAAGAATGTTGTACAATTTGCTGTGTTTGTGTCTGCTAACAATGATTTTAGTGTATTTTTTGCGAAAATATTGTTTTGAAAACATGTGCGCAAATATCATTAGCACCTTCTTTTTATTCTACTGGTCATGTTCTTTCAGAAATATATATAGTTGGGGGGGGGGGGGGGGTTACAAACTCTGAAAGAAAAGGAAAGGAAAAAAATAAGCAATGGAAAAAAAGCAAAAATGGTCCAGTAAAGCGCAAGGCCTGGCAGGGAAAGTGTTAAATGTGCTTCCCTGTCATCATTCAATTATTACAATTAACCACCTCCCGCCCGCCATATAGTCCAATGACGGCCGCAAGGTGGTTCTCTCGTTCTGGGAGGACGTCATATGTTGTCCTCCCATTCTCACCGTGCATGCGCGGCTCAGGGAGCGCACAGCGCGGTGATCAGCGATGCGCTGTGTCCCTCGGACACAGCCGATCACCGATCTATGGAAAGAGCCGAAGATGTCGGCTCGGTCATGTGATCAGCTGTGTCCAATCACAGCTGATCACATGTAAACAGGGAAATGCCGGTTATCTGCATTTATCTCCAAACGAGCTGTCACACTGACAGCTCAAGAGGAGAGAAGAGCCGGTAATTGGCATTCCTCAGAGGGGACATGTACACTGATCATCAGGGCACTGATGGTCAGTGTGCCCTGATGATCAGTGTGGCCCCATAAGTGCCACCTGTCAGTGTCCTTCAGTGTCAGCTGCCAGTGCTGAACAGTGCCACATGCCAGTGCCACATCAATGCCACATATCAGTGCCCATATGAGCTGCCTTTCAGTGTCACCCATCAGTGCCAGTCAGTGCCACCTATCAATGCTAATCAGTGCCACCTGTCAGTGCTGCCAAGCAGTGCCACCTATCAGTGCCAGTCAGTGCCGCCTATCAGTGCCAGTCAGTGCCGCCTATCGGTGTGCATCAGTGCCACCTATCAGTGCCACTCAGTGCCTCCTATCAGTGCCAGTCAGTGCCGCCTAACAGTGCCAGTCAGTGCCACCTAACAGTGCCAGTCAGTGCCTCCTATCAGTGCCAGTCAGTGCCGCCTATCAGTGCCATATATCAGTGTTGCCTTTCAGTGCCCATCAGTGATGCCTGTCAATGCCCATCAGTGCCACCTACCAGTGCCTCCTCATCAGTGCCCATCAGTGCCACCTATCAGTGTCCATCAGTGCAGCCTATCAGTGCCCATCACTGCAGCCTCATTAGCGCACATCAGTGAAGGAGAAAAATCACTTATTTATAAAATTTTACAACAAAAACTAAGAAAAAACTTTTTTTTTGCAAACTTTTCAGCGGTTTTTTGTTTGTTTAAGAAAAATTAAAAAACCCAGAGGTGATGAAATACCACCAAAATAAAGCTCTATCTGTCACAAAAAATAATAAAAATTTCATATGGGTACAGTGTTGCATGACCGCGCAATTGTCATTCAAAGTGTGACAGTGCTGAGAGCTGGAAATTGGCCTGGGCAGGAAGGGGGTATAAGTGCCCGGTAGGCAAGCGGTTAGAAACATCAATCAATTAAAACTGATTGTATTGCAAACAGATCTCAATGGGGAAAAATATGCAGGATGTCTATGCTTGTATGGACTGGGTAATGTGTTAGGAATGTAAGGATGCCCCATCGTTTGATGGGAATAAAAATTATCAACCTACAGCAGACTGAATTCAAAGACTACCCAAAAATCAAAGTGAAAAAATGAAGCAGCAGGCTAGTCTATTTTGCTGAAATTTCATTGCAGCAGCTTAAAATGGTACTCAGTAGTTTGTCCCCACGTGCTTGTATGCATGCCTGACAATGTTGAGGCATGACCCTAATGAGATGACGGATGGTGTCCTGGGGTATTTCCTCCCAGATCTGAACCAGGGCATCACTGAGCTCCTGGACAGTCTGAGGTGCAACCTGCCAACGTCGGATGGACCAAAGCATGATATCCCAGAGGTATTCTATTGGATTCAAGATTCAGGCCATTCAATGGTATCAATTCCTTCATCCTCCAGGAACTGCCTGCATACTCTCGCCACATGAAGCTGGGCATTGTCATCCACCAGGAGGATCCCAGGACTCACTGCAACAGAGTAGGGTCTGACAATGTGTCCAAGGCCTGTAGAGGTCTATTCATCTCTCCATGGAGATGCCTCCCCAGGCCATCACTGATCCACCATCAAAACGGTCATGCTGAATGATGTTACAGGCAGCATAATGTTCTCCGTGGCTTTTCCAGACCCTTTCACGTCTACCACGCAGGGTGAACCTGCTCTCATTTGTGAAAAGCACAGGGCACCAGTGCCAATTTTGGTGTTCAATTTCAAATGCCAATCGAGTTCTATGTTGCCTGGCAGTGAGCACATGGCCCACTAGAGGATGTTGGGCCCTCAGGCCACCCTCATGAAGTCTGTTTCTGATTGTTTGGTCAGAGACATTCACACAAGTGGCCTGCTGGAGGTCATTTTGTAGGGCTCTGGCAGTGCTCATCCTGTTCCTCCTTGCACAAATGAGCAGATACCGGTCCTTCTGATAGGTTAAAGGCCTTCTATGGCCCTGTCCAGCTCTCCTAGAGTAACTGCCTGTCTCCTGGAATCTCCTCCATGCTCTTGTGACTGTGCTGGGAGACACAGAAAACTTTCTGGCAATGGCACGTATTGAGGTGCCATCCTGGAAGAGTTGGACTGCCTGTGTAACCTCTGTAGGGTCCAGGTATCGCTTCATGCTACCAGTAGTGATACTGACCCTAGCCAAATGTAAAACTAGTGAAAAACAGTGAGAAATGATGAGTAGGGAAAAAAATGTCAGTGACCTCTACCTGTAAAACCATTCCTGTTTTGGGGGTCATCTCATTGTTGCCCATCTAGTGCACCTGTTGTTAATTACTTAACACCAAAGCAGCTGAAACTGATGAACAACCCCCTCTGCTACTTAAATGACCAGATCATTATCCCAGGAGTTTAACTGACTTGATACTATACTCTGATTAAAAAGCGTTCCTTTAATTTTTTTAAGCAGTGAATATATTATAAAAATAGGGATGCACTGATATCGAGTATTTTCATGAGTACTCTGCATCTTTCTCCCCTCTCCTTGGAGGGATGACAGTTCGGGCTAGAGAGCTTTTGATTGGCCAGCACATCACATGGATGGTGCTGTCCAATCAGATAACGTCTAGCCCGTACTGTCATTGCTGCAAGGAGAGGAGAGAAAATCACAGAGATTTCAAATCCCAGAGCTGTGAAGCTGCTTTCTTCCCTCTCCTTGAAGGGATGACAGTACGGGCTAGATGACATCAATAGTCAATCAATAGTCCTCTAGCCCGAACTGTCATCTCTGCAAGGAGAAGAGAGAAAGCCCTTTCTCTCCTCTCCTACCGCTAAGAATTATGGACCATCTACCACCATAGTATATATCCCCGCATGCCCGCTCTCCCACTTTCCACTGCGGGACACCTCCCTGCACTGCTCCTGTCTGAACTCAGACTATGACAACCTGGGTTCACACAGGAGCAATGGGGAAACCGCATACGATTTGGACAGGTATCACGTTCCTGTTCAAATCACATGCTATTCTTTGCTGTGCAATTTGCTTTCATACATGTTGTATTGATGCAAATTGCACCGCAAAGTATCGGTAATCGGTATCGGGGAGTACTTGACCAAAAGTATCGGTACACATACTCGCTGATAAAAAAAAAGGGTATCGGTGCATCCCTATTTAAAATACATAGACCGTATCTTCTTGTTCACAATAGTAGGTGTACTATTTGATGCGGGGGGGGGGGTGTGTGTGTGTATGTGTGTGGGAGGGGGGTTTTGGGGGGTTGTGGTCAAAACGTTTGCCACCCTCTTTTGCCTGAACTGTGAGGGGGTGCAACAAAGTTAAACATAAATAAAAGCACATAAATATCCCATCTGATATGATATCTTATACCATGAGCAGCATAAGTATCTTTTGGGCAGACTTACTTAGAAGCCCAAATTCCAAAAACAGTAAGTAGCAGATCCACAAGATAAAGTATATGGCGATAGACATACAAACCACAGCCTAGAGATATTCCTTGATAGGATAAAAATAGGCTCCCAAACTATCCAATGTCCCTATAACAATATATGTATACATATTGTAGTGCAAAAAAAAAAGAAAGAGAATTATGCAAATGGAAAGACAGAGAAAGAGGGGAAAACTTGTTTAATATCATCCCAAAACATATTAAAACAAACTCACCATGCAATTAATATGGCCCACAAATTGCATATCCAGACATTCTCCAAGAAGTGAAATATATTCTCCTCCTTATATCTCCAAAACTCCCCCTTCAACCAAAGAAATAGTGGGAAAAACCTGATAAATATGTAGCCAGATGTCTATGTTATGCTTATTCACCTATAGGTGTTGATCAAGTGAATTAGTATAGGTCAGGGCCAGACTTTTAAGGTGCATCTGAGAAAGTCAGCTTCTTAAAATTCATTGTCCTTCTCATGAGAGTGGGACTTTGTTTCATTTGTTTTTCTTAGTTGCTATTCTTCTGTCTTTTTACAGTGGAACATCTGACATGTTTGCAACTGGAGGATAAGTGCACTGTATTGCATTTGAAATGTAATGTATTGTGTACTAATGCTATTTAGTTAGCAGGAAATTTGAAATTTCACATGCAGTCTGTAACTTATTTGCTTTTCTCTCAGCTTCATTGATTACAGATTTCTGACCTTAGCTTAAAGGGTCACAACATACAGTATACTGAGTGTTATTGGAGAGAGTTCTGTCTGTTTTAGGGCATCCTGTGCCCTAACCCCCTATCCTGGAGTTTGTTTATCCATTATGTTTTCTAAAGTGTTTAACACCCAATTATTTTTCACCATAAAACAAGTCAAGTCTGAACTGCCTAGGGGACCTCATCCACCACTATGGGGCTGCAGGTTGTTTGAAGATGACGCTCCTATTAGGGAAAGAAAAGGAGATGGAAACATAACATAAAAAAACTGATGCTATGTTCACTTTAAAGCCCAACTTGGGGCTGATTCTAAACATATCCATGCATTGAAGCCCCATTCCTCTCTGCAATGCATGAAGTTTAGCTAGAGGAAAAAGGAAAAAGTACACATATTTACCTTTTTCCTCACTCACCAGTCTTCCTCCTCTTTTCATGACCATTCTCCCAAAGAAAAGGACAGCCAAAACTCACCCACAGCCTGGAGTGTTGAACAGCCTTGGCTATTAGGTGAGCTAGAAACAAGGTAAGTACCTTTACCAATTCCTTTTGCTCATACGACCAAACTAGTATTTAATCCAACAGCCCATTCTCACGATTATGCAGTGTGATGCAGTGCATGTATTTTTGTGCATTGAGGATCGGGTTGCTTTTGGCAACATAATTAATAATAATTAGGATGTAGCACAAAAGAAGGTCATGCTGCATTGTTTTTTAGGTTTTCTGTAACTCACCAAAGTACGCATTTTGCTGTAATAGAGTGGTATGAATGATCTTGAAGAACCATTAGAAGGGCCTTGTTTGAGAGATATATATATATATATTATATATATATATATATATATATATATAAAAACTGCCCACATTCTCTAACCTATGATCTTCCATCCTTTATATTTCACTAATAAGATGCATACAGTTGAATCTTTGAAATACATAACGTATAGTTGTGAACATTTTAGTTCTATAATAGATTGTTTTAATTTGTAAACAAATTCAGTGAGCCAACGTACACAGCTGGGAATATGCAAAAGTGCTAATTGGCTCAATTTGAAAATATTTGAGAAACATGTTAAGATTTAATACAGTAGGTGAAAAATTATCATGGTTTTAATCATTTTCAATTTACATTCTGTACAAACTGTTGTTGAGCTCTGTAGCCAGATGAAAGTACAAGTAAAAAAACTGCTAGTATGCATATTTATTGACACTTTATATGTATCATCAGACAAAAAACTATTTTCCCTTTTTGCTAGGTTTTTTTTGTTTACACTGCCTGTGGATTGTAAGATGTCAAGGATGGAGCTGGGTGCTGGGATAATGAAACTACAGCAGCCAGGGTTGCATCCTTACTGGCCATCTCATGATCGGAGAAATAAGATGTCTTTTGCATGAAAAAGAGCAGATAAGATAGTGGACTTGTCATTTCTAGAAGAGGGCAAACTAACAGTCAAAGTTTGCAGTATCCAGTACATACTTGCACGTTATGGCAAATGCTTCTGCTCCACCAGTTTAGTTCCATTTTTAGGTGTGAAGTGAGGTAAAGAGCAGCAAA